TGGGCTACAAAGTGAGTCCAAGGCCAGCCTCAACTGTATAGTGAGATCTTGTCTCAAAAAGACAAAAGAAAGAATGAAAGAATGAAAGAAAGAAAGAAAAAGAAGAAAGAAAGAAAGAAAGAAAGAAAAAAAAAAAAAAAAGAGGGGGAGGGGAGAGAAAGAGGGAGGGGAAGGGGAAGAGGAGAAAAGAAAAAGCCCTGCACCAGATTTTTAGGTTTTACAAAGGAACAACTTTCCTGAGACTTTAGCTATAATCTCAGAATACAGCTATTTGCTCCTCTCGTAATCAAACTGTAAAGTTCTCAGTGCTCAGACTTAAGAAAAAATAAATCAGAGTCCTTGCGAAGTGCTTATGTGAAGCTGAAATAAAGCATCTGGTCAGCTCACAGCAAAGGAGCCGCAAGCTTTGGGGGATTTTTCCCTTCTTCATGACCATAAAAAGCAACAAGCGGGTGACACTGCCCTTCCCTCAGCTTCCCAGGAGGACTGCAGCCCGGCGCAAGGCCTGGGCCTCCGCAGAGCCGGCTGGGAGCAGCGGGAAGGCCTAGCGCCGCTGCAGAGACGAGTGGCTCTCTGTGAAATTAAGTACCATAAAAATGGAGTCCATAAACAGTTATTACTACGCGGGCTGAAAAGAAAACCCAAATCTCATGTAATTATGCGGATTACTGGAACAATGACCTTCATCCACAGTGTACTCAACCAAAAGAAAAACAATTTTTTTGTGCTACTAAGGATTGAGCCACAGGCTTTCCCTCTAAGCTACAACCCCAGCCCCTCTTATTTTTCATTTTGTGAGAGGGTCTCCCCCAAATTGTCCAGAAGGGACTCAAATTTGCAATGCTCCTGCCTCAGCTTCCCAAAAACCTGTAGCTATTCTTACTGTCCTTCAATTTTCTCCTCCTTTTTCTCCTCCCTTCCACCCTCACTGCCAGACATTGGCAAGGCTACACCTAATAAGGAGATTAAAAAGTGAAGAATAACCCAAGAACCTTCCTAAATACAGCTATTCCTCATTTAAAGACCTATATGTGAGGGCACAGGCCTGTAATCCCAGCACTTGGGAGGCTGAGGCAGGAGGACTGCTGCAAGTTTCGAGGCCAGCCTGGGCTACAAAGTGAGCTGAACACCAGCTTGAACTACATAGCAAGACTCTGACTCAAAAAAAAAAAAAAAATAGATGACTGCATGTAAGAGTTATGCAAATAAAAGCAAAGTCAAGTTGGAGTTTGCTTTGACCATTTCTTTGTTCTGAACCTTGTAATGTACTATATACAGTTCTTCATTTAAGGACCAGTTCGTTTAACGACCTGGTCACAGGATCGAAAATGGTCATTAAACAAGGAATGTCTGCAACGTACACTTGTTTTGATTTTCGTAGGTGGTGCAGCATCTCGTCCACCTAGTCATGATTGCTCATGTTGCCAGTGGCAATGGCAGCTGCCTCTTATAACAGCTCCCTGCCGGAGCCACTGTGTAGGTCTCTAAGCCTGCCAGCCCAGGCAGGGAGGTCGCCCAGGCCTCCCCAGCAGGCGCTGTCCAAGCACAGCACCCTCTTTACTGAGCTGCCCTCGCCAGCCAGCCCTGGGCTGCCTCAGTGACTCTTACCTGTGCTGCCTTCTCTGACCAGACCGTTACAAACTGAATTTTTTTGTTCTGTTTAGTTTTTGTTTTTCTTCCGGTACCAGGAATCGAACTCAGGACCTTGTGCTTGCCAGGCGGGTGCTTTGCCGCTGAGCTAAATCCCCAGCCCCAACTGAATTCTGAAGATGTATATTAACAATACAAACGTACTGAAGGTGGTGGCACTCTCCTATACTCCCAGCATTGCACAGGCTGGAGCGGGAGGCTCTTGAGTCTGACTGAGGTCAGCCTGGGCTACAGAGTGAAACCAACCTGAAGTTAGAATAATGACGGTGGTGGTGGTGCTGGTCTGAAGAGCACCTGTGACTGAAAAGCTCCTCTTCATATTCACCCAGTCCTCCTGGACCGCTCTGCTCGGGCAGTCTCCTGTGTGCCGAGGGGCTTTCCCGCTGGACTGCTTACTGCCTGCTCTCTCCTAAGACTCACCTAAATTCCATTTCCCTGGGGCCACTTTCGGCTTTCCCTTAGTACTCAGTACTTTTTTTCTCTGCTTTGGAGACAGGTCTCTCTGTGTAGTCCAGGCTGGTCTTGAATTCACTATGTACCCCAGGCTGGCCCCCACCTCCCAGCATCCTCCTCCCTCGGCCTCTCGAGTGCTGGGATTAAGGTACTCAGTACTTTAGTATGCATCCTGTTTGGGCCTCTGTCCAGCACTTAAACTTAGTTACGAGTCGGGGTAAAATACAGCTTCCCAAACTGAAGCCCAGCGTGGGCAGTGGGTCCAGCACAACCCCACACACGTCCTAGGGACCCACACCCTAACATGGGCACTCAGGTCCCCAAAGCAGTGGCCTGCCCGTTCTCCCTAGACGCACCCACACGCATCCACTGTGGTTTTTTTGTGTTTTTGGTTTTTGGTTTTTTTTGAGAAAGGGTCTCACTATGCAGTTCAGGCTGGCCTTGAGCTCACTTTCTAGCTCAGGCTGGTCTTGAAGTCACAACGATCCTCCTGCCTCAGCCTCCCGAGTGCTGGGATGACAGGTGTGCGCCACCACGCCCGGCAAAACCAGAAATTTTGAACTTGACTCGCCCGGCTGCCTGTTACTCTTATACTAACTTCCTTTCCAAGATAAGGTAACAAGGAGGAAGCACGTTATCAGCCCATCTACAACTTCTCAGGCCCCAGGCCTGTGACCCCAGCTTCCCATTTTTAGTGCCAGGGTGCAAGCACACAGGGGTGGACCGGGCTTCTGGCCCAGCCCGGCAGGCTGCCCGAGACAGAGCACCCCGGAAGGCGGCCCCCGGAGACACTGGAGAAGCCGTCTCCACCGAGCAGTTCTGCAACCATGACCTCCTTCCCGGCCGGCCGCATTCCCCGCATTCCGGGCGACACAGACCCGGTTCACCAGTCTAAGTTCCAGGGGCGACTTGAAATCTGCCGCCGCCGTGAGCCTGCAAGGCTAGATAAAGCTGTGGGAACTCCTCAGCCGGACAGTGGGACACGATCTCCGAACCAGACCACAGAGGTACGTAAACTTCCGCACGTGCACAGACCCCCACCCCCCTTCCCTGAGTCTCGTGTGAAATCTTCAGTCTAATGAATGCACAACGTGTTTATCACGAACAAAATCTGATCTCTTCTAGCTATACGTTCTCTCCTGATTTTTCTTTAAAAAAATTATGAATAAAGTTTTTAAAAATTAAAAAATAACAGTACGTGTGAAACTGGGGATTTGCCCCCCTCCAATCACTTCCTGTTTAATCTCGCCACTCGCGCTTGCGTCGGGGCTGGGGAAACACGGTTACAACGAATACCGCACCGGTCCACCTCATCCCGAACGCTCCACCGCTTTCCAGTAACTTATTTCAGCAGAGAGTACAGAAAAAGAACACGATTTCCAGTGTAAATATGTGAAGAGACAGAACTCATGGCTAAATACTGGTCACACGTGCCATTTCTGAAACAACTGTTCAATTCATCCTAGAGGTGGGTGTCCAGCACTCAGGAGGCTGAGGCAGGAGGGTCAAAAGCTCAAGGCTGGTCTGGGCTACACAGCAAGTTCAAAACCAACCTACACTCATATCTGGTCCCCATCTCAACAGCCCCTGCTCCCCTCATCATAGAAAGTAGGTAATTCTCAGCAATCTTCTGCAGATAACCTTATCTACCCACCCCTAGCCATTTACACTGTAGCATTTAACAGCTGTAAATTCAAAACAGACCACACCTAAGGTTGAGCTTGCCCCAGAATTCAGCACTGCGTAAGGGTGTTCTACTTCCGTGCCCAAGTGAAGGATCATTTCTTTTTTGTTTTTTCTTTCTGAGACAGAGTATATCCACAACCTTGTTTTATGTATCACAACAGAACATACTTCAGAGTAAAGCAAACCACCTTATTTCTCTGAAAATAAGACCTAACTGGAAAATAAGCCCTAACATGACTTTTCAGGATGCTCATAATATAAGCCCTACTCCAAAACTAAACCCCAGTTAAGACCATCCAGCCAAAGCCAGGTGTGGTGACACATACTGTAATCCCTATACTTGGGAGGCTGAGGCAGGAGGGTCCTTGGGGGTTCAAGACCAGCCTGGGCTACAAAATGAGCTCTAGGCCAGCCTGAACTACATAGCCAGACCCTGTCTCAAAAACATAAAAGGAAAAAAATATCAAGCCAGCATTCAGTACATCTGTTGAGACACAACAGAAACACTGATTTTTTTTTCTTGTTTTATTTTTTGAGACAGAGTCTCACTATGCAGTTCAGGCTGGCCTTGACCTCACTTTGCAGCCCACGCTGATCTCGAACTCACAA